TTTAATCCCCTTTCTCTTGCTCTTCTGCCCTGCTATTTTGTGCGTCCCTGAGTTGTCCCTGGGGCTGACTGCTCCTCTGTCCGGGTTCCTGGCTTTTTATCCCCTTTCTCCTGCTCTTCTGGCCTGCTACTCTGGGTGGGCCTGAGTTGCCTCTCCTCACCTAATCCCTTTGGATGATTGCTCTTCTCTCTGGCTCCCTGGCTTTTAATCCCCTTTCTCTTGCTCTTCCCACTTGCTACTTCGGGCATCCCTGAGTTGTCTCTCCTCACCTGTAACCCTGGGGCTGAATTAGGAATTATTATTAGGATTATTATTAGGAATCAGAGAGGAAGTCCTGCATAGCAACAGTCCAGTTGAGGGTTGCTTAGTTATCACTTAGCCTAGAGTTTCCCAAATTGACCTGAGAAGAATTAGCTGGGGTGGCGAGGGGGAACAGAGGCAGGGAGAGAATTAGCTGGGACATTTGTCAAAACCGTATTTCCCAGGGCTCCCTTTCTCAGAATGGCTCTTCACCTGCCCTGGTAAGGCTCTAGTGTAACTGGGAAATCTGGAGTTTTAAAACACCCCACACCAGCTGATTCTTGTCAGGGAGGTTTCAGGGCTGTGACAAAGCTCTACCCCAGTTTTGCCTGCTAAGAGTGAAAAGCTGGAGCCAGAGAGCGAGGGTCAGTGTTACCTTCTTGATTGTGTCTAGGAAAAGCATCCTGGCAAAAGTTCAACTCAGCGAGCTGGTACACAGCTAGGGCTGGCTTGCCTAGGACTGCCAGAGCCCAGCAAGCATGTGCCACTGGCCCTGTGCAGGTGCAGGAAGAGTCCACAGACATTCATGCTGCCTGAATTCACTCACGCCACTGCAGCCACCTCCTCCTCACTACCTCAGTCTGAAGTACCCCAGATTGGAGGCACTCATAAACGGGAGGACTGTCTGCATACTATATACTAAGGCAAACATTTGACTAACTGTTCCGATTTACAAATTCAGCTTCAAAACAGATTTAGGTGCAGAACTCATCCGTAATCTGTGGACTGCCTGTATGCACAAGAAAAACATCCCAGTCCTGTCATCATGGACCTTTTTTTTTTTAACTACTAAGGAATTAGACTGCCTTTTTAATGGTGTTCTAGCAGAAATAACACACCTATTTATATATTGAAAATTCCTGTATGTCACATGCAGATTAGTTTGATAATATTTCTTACTATATTATACTGTGAGGCCTTGGAGGGCAAGGGCCACATCTTTCCTTTTCTCCTGGCATCTCCACAATTGAGCTCATGACCTGCTTCTCAGTAGGGGGTGCTATACAATTGTTAACTGAATGAATGAATGAATGCTTAATCTAGGTAATTGTGATATCATTCATTACCCTCCAGTCAATTTCGGCTTATGGTGACCCCATAGGACAGAGTAGACTGTCCCACAGAGTTTCTGAGGCTAACAAGCAGACTGCCAGGTCTTTCTCCTACAAACAGCCAACCTTTTGGTTAGCAGCCAAGCACTTAACCACTGTGCCTCCAGTGCCCCTGACAGTGCTACCAGAACTGTTATTAAAGAATTAAAAATAAACAAATGCCTAGACTATTCTAAGAAGCTCTGGTAGCGTAGTGCCTAAGGCACTTGACTGCTAACCAGAAAGCTGGCGGTTCAAACCCCCCAGCTGCTCCTCAGAAGGAAGATTGGGCAATCTACTTCCGTAGTGATACTGCCTCGGAAACACAAGGAGGGGTCACTATGAGTTGGGTCCAACTTGACGGCACATAACAACAACAAAAAATTATATGGCATAAATAGATTATCTAGCATAACCCAAAATCCACAAACAACAGAAGA